TAAATTTTTTTAATTTAATAAATTAATCTTTTTAGAAAAAATGTGGAGGTTTTCAATATTCCTTTTTGTGGTTTTTTCAATTAATTTTTGTTTTTCACAAAAAGAACCGGTTGGACAAAATTTAATACTTTTTTTAGTTGATGGTAATTTTAAATATTTTTTTGTTAAATTTAATTTATTTTCAGGTCTTGGAGCTAATTTGTTTAATAATACTGATTCTAGAATGAAATTTGGGGCTAAAACGCTTATTGAGGTAAATACTTATTAGTTTTTTTTTTAAAAAAATTATTTTTTAGAATGGTGTAGAAGCAGATTATCTTATTCCTGTTTTTCCAACTCAATCATATCCAAATTGGTTTAGTTTGGCAACTGGTATGTTTCTAATTTTGTTATAATTTATGAGAAGTAGGGAGAAATATTTTATGGTCATATAAGCCTTTAAAATGTTTCGGTCAAATATTTAATTTTGAAAGCTAGCAAATTTATGCTAAATTCAAAATTCATAGCTTATTGTTAGAATCTATCATATTTTTATTTGTCCTTATTGAGACCTTAAAAATTTTTCTTAAAAATCTTTAAATTATTTTCATTCTAATAATATTTAAAATGAATTTTTGTTACCCTAGTACTTTAAAATTAGCCGATTCTTCAGTTATTTTATTTTGAATTTATGGGGATTAGGGTATTCCCTTCAGAAAAGGTTAATTTGGATCAGAATTTTATTGAAAAATAGTATTTTATTCCTATTTTTCTTTTTTTATTAATTCCTTTTTTTATTAAGGTCTCTATGTAGAAAATCACAATTTCACTGCCGACTTTATGTTTGATCCAAATAATACTTTGTTTTTTGAACGAGATCTGGGGGCTGATGATTTAAATGAAAAATGGTGGCGGGCAAATCCAGCCCCTTTTTGGTATTCGGTTGGTAAAGCTGGAATTGATGTTCATTGTTATTGGTTTGCTACTTGCCATGTTAGTTTTACCCTTTTTTCTAATATAATTTTTTAACTCAAAATTTTATCTCCAAAATATAACCACATTTATTAAAATTTAAAGATTCGATAGGAGATAACCCCCATTCCAATCCAAAAATATTCCATTTAAAGGAAGAAATTTTCTTGGACAAATCAGGTCAAGAATAATCTAACAATAAGAAAATATTTCTTTTTACTCAAATAATTTTACTTAAAACTCCACAAATTCTTATGATTCGAATATTGTCTAAAATTAAAATTTTTCAGATGCCTTATGTCGATTTAGTTGTACAAGTTCCCTCGTCAAGACGTCATAGTTTTAAAAATGATGAAGAACATGATTTATATTCATATATTCCAAACATAATGAAATATATTCAAAAATATCAAGTTTATAGAAAACAGGTTTTTTAAAATTAATTTTAAAAGAAGATACAAATAATTTTTTTATTCAGTTAGTACTTCTTCGATATGATGGATTAGGGAAGGCTTTGAGGACGCATGGTGAGGACTCTGAACAAACGGTTCAAGAACTTTCCAATTTTGACCAACAAGTACGGAAAATCCAGGTAAATTAATTTTTTTAATCTAAAGGAGGGTATTTTGTTTGTAGCACGTCTTCTATAGGACTGACATGAGTCTTAAAGTTAATCCTTCCTTTCCTTGTCAATTAAAGATTGAGAAGAAAAAGGATAATTTTTAGATATTTTTATATGGAAATAGAGAAAAATTGTGAGAGTAAGTATCTGACATGAGATGTCATGATTTTTTAACTTATGTATTGTTAGATCCACAACTTTTTTAACAGAAAGGAAATAATTAATTTTGGGATAGAGGGAGCGGGATACGAATTAAGTGCTTAAAGGGCAAAAAGTTTGGCTGTATATTTTGAATGTTTTATATTTTGCTTGGTTCAAAATTGGTACCTTGCCGTTCAGTCTCAAAGTTTATTTTCAGGAGGAAATGGAGACTTGGGATTTACTTAGATCCACAAATTTAATTGTTTTATCCGATCATGGATTAATAAAAAGTGAAGAACAAAATCAATATTATATTGAAGAATGTATTGCTGACAGTACAAAAATTAAACAAATAGCTAATTCACTTGCTTTTGCATTAATTTGGCCGGAAGAGGAGGAAGAGGTTTTTTTGAGGGATTTTTTGAGAATAAAAAATTTTGAAGGATACAATTTTCTTTGAATTAAAATTTTGTGATCAATGGGCTAATCTTGCATCAGTTGATTATGAAGGGGAAACAAAAGAAGTAGAACCTTCTGTGGGAGTTTATAGACAACATGAAATTCCAGAACGTTTCCATTGGAAGGTTAATTTTGACAAAAAAAAATTTTTGTAAATTTTTTTTAAAAGAATTCTCGATTTATTGCACCAATTGTACTTATTGCACAACCTGGATATCAACTTTTAACAGTTTGTTTTTTAAAAAATTTTATAAATTAAATTACTTTTAGAGGCAAATTCCTTCTACTTCAGTTAGCGAAAAATTTGGAAGAGAATGGAAGATGTTGGATGGATGGGATAATGAAAACCCAGACCTACAAGGTTTTGTTAAAATGAAATTTGTTTTTGAATTTTTTCTATTTTAGGCATTTTTATGGCCAGAGGACCTGGTAGGTTTTTTAAAGTTTTTTTTTTTTTAATTTTAAATCGCTAGAAAATAGAGGTCCCGTTTTTGTTTATAAATTGGTTGAAGTTTCTGAAACTTCCTGATTTTCGAATTTCTGGAATTAAAAATATTGGGGAGCAGGGAAGAGAGTATTTAAAAACCCATTCTTTGAACGAATGCACTTACAATTAATTTTTAGCTTTCAAATCTGGATATAAAGGTGGACCATTAGAAATAGTTGATATTTATCAGGTTTTTATATTTTTGTGAAATATTACTAGAAACCTTTACACTTATAGTTAGTTCTAAATATGTTTGGAGTTGACCCATGCCATCCAAATAATGGAAGCTGGGAAAGAGTTTCAGAATTTTTATCTGATGAACTCGAAGAGAGGTCATATCAACCACAAAATTTTGGTATAAGGAATTCAAAGCCTATTACATTTTTATTAGTTGTGATTGAAATATTATTAGTTTGTAATTTTAGTTTTTACTTTTTGCCTAAAGATTTATTCTAATTTAGAGAATAAAAATAAGATTTTTTTGAGGTTTTAGAGAAATTTTATTTTAAAATTGGGAACTTGAGCTTTTTCTCGAGAGGTGGTCGATTTTAGATGGGAAATGTTTTTGGGGTTTCTCTCTGTTTTTGGGTTCATTTTCCCTAAAAATTTAGAAAATACTAGTTAAAGCACATAGAAAGCCTAGTGTAAGCTTGGGTAAAATTAGTTTTTAATTCAGAAATTGTGATTTTTCTTTTATCGAAAAACATTTTTAAAGTTAAAAAGTGATCAGAAAAATTCCTTCCCGACTAATATGTAAAAGGTGAAAATAAAAATTAAAATAAAAAAACAAAAATTTAAATTTATTCAAAATAAACATAAATACTAACCTTAACAATTCAAAAAAAACTTTTTATGGATGTGGCCGAACATATGGATTCTCTGGAATATATTTCATTGATACATCAGTCTTTAAAAGTTCATTTTTTACAAATTCAGTTAAATTTTTTCGTCTATTCTCTTCAAGTGTTTCCATAGAAGGGTATGGATTGCCTTAATTTTGAATAATTAGTTTTTAAATATTTTAAAATTAAAACCTTTTAATTCCAAAACAGCAATGGAATATCTCATATATAGAACTTTTTTGCCATTTCTAATTTCTGCACGGATGGAAGGTAATCTGTAGATTGAAGTGTAAGGCTCGTCAATTGGATAATCTTCAAAACGAGGAACAAAAACACTGAAAATTTTTAAAATTTTATTTCGGTTATTCATACCAATAAGTATTATGGGGTTATTCCTAACAATAAGTATACCTAAAATTTAGGGTACTACTGAAGAAAAGGGTGCTTTTTCTGCGGATTTATTTTGCGGACTTTTCCTTTCCTTCTTTTTCCCTTTTTTTTAAAAGATAATGTTTTAGCTTGTAGCAAACTAACTGTCGAAGGATTAATTTTTATTCGCACAAATATTTTTGATTATTTGTTATTTGTGAAATTAAATGAAAAAAACAGTCATCTCCTCCAAATTTCTGTTTCCATACAAACTCATTCATATAACTTTCAAACGTTGTTTCAGCAGTACCAAATTCAGTTTTATGTCGTCTTTTCAATTTTTGCCATAGGCATTCAATATTCTGGGTGTGTATTTTTTTGTTGTCCGAGATCAGTGATCCATTGTTGAAATTCATCATTGGGTAATTTAATTTTATCATACAATTTAGTTAAAGTAAAATTTTTTATTGATTGTAACATTTTTTTCGTTTATAATGTTTAAATTATTTGTGAACGACATTTTTCAGACCGGCATAAAAAATAATCCGTTGACTGTTAGTTGCTATAAGCAAAACATTTAAACAGAAATGAAAAAAATAAAATTAATCTTCTCTGTATCAATGTCTTTTGTTTGAATATGCCACACGGCAAATAGAGGAAAAGAGAAAGAAGAAAATCTGACCATTGTGTACAATCTTAGGTAAGAAAAATAATGGGGGAGGGCCGTTGACAGTTAGTTGCTACAAGTAAAACATGTAAAGGAAAGGAAAAGTCCGCAAAATAAGTCCGCAGAAAAAGCACCCTTTTCTTCAGTAGTACCAAATTTAGGTTCTCCCCTCTTTTTACTTCGTAAATTTGCACAAGATGGCCAAACTTTGTTCGTGAATTCCACTCTATTTCCCTGTGGCATATTCAAATTCTGTATAAATTGAGGAAGGAAAAGGAAGGGAAACGAACTTGAATTTTACCATTTATTCTTCATTAAAAAATTTAGGGTTAACTCTCGAAAACTTTAGCATTAAATTGACTTATTAATTTTGTCCGCAAACTAAATCCGCAAAAAACTCACTTTGCAGACAAATTCTAGCAACACCAGAAAGCTCCCCTCAATAAAACCTTAATAAAATCCTTACTTGAACATTTTATCTATTAATTCCTTTTCAGGAAACCACCAATCAAACATTTCTTTTGTATATTCATCATTTAGTCCTCTATGAATGCCTAATTGAATTAACTAAAAAGAAAAAAAGATTTTTAGAAAAATAATAAAATTAAACTCTTTCCACATATTGACGACACTCTTCAGCTCGATTATAACGAAATTCGACTCTTTCATCTTTAAAGACACGATTGACCAACATTCGAAGTAATTCCAAATGTCCTCTTGGATTTTTAAAACCTGGAAGTTTAAGCCGTTGGGGTATATGTCCAATCGGGACTTTAATTCGAGGAAGAGACGGAAGTAAACGATGAGCAGACATTTCTAAAATTAAAATTCGAAATAAAAATGAAAGGAAGGATAAAGAAAATTCAAGTAAAAAAGAAACAAAAAATGGACATTTTGGGCATTTTTAATATTTTGGGAAAACGAATATAAATTAAAGTTACCAAATTGAAAAGAAAATTTGCCAAAAAATGAAAGCCGGTTTGTCGCTAAAACTTTTTGTTATTATTTTTAATCTCGAGAATTGATTTTTTAAATAAGCGTGAAGGACTGACTTGCGCTTTGATTTTGATGCTTGATTGTAATGAATGACACTGATCGGTTTAATATTTTTTTAATAAAATTTAGATACAAGTTTATAATGACTTTTTGATATTTTTTGAAATTATTTGAATTTTTTCATCTTCTTTGTTATATTTTTCAAGAGAAATGGGCAATACAGAAAGCTCCAAAGGTTTAAAATTATATTTTAATATTTTTAATTTTTTATTTCAGTCGATTTCCGCAAACTTGTTGTAGAAGAAACTTCAAAACCTTTAACAAATGACGAAGATTTGGATTGGGATAAACTTCTTCCATTTAATACAATTAATGATTTATTTAATTTTTTGTCTGCTGCTGATGTCAGAGGATTGAGAGATATGCATCCAAACGTTTTTTTAAATATTTTTTCTTTAATATATTTCCATTTAAGGCATTAGCTACTTTAATTTCCAAAGTTATTGGATACCTTTCACGTCTTCCAAATTCACTTCCTGCCCAATCTGATCATAGAAAGGTTTTTTGAATTTATTTTGAGGCATAAATGATTTTTCAGATAATTAATTGTATTCGTCTACTTATACGTGTTATCCCTTTTCTTTTTGAAGAGAGCGAATGGCGAGCTTATTTCTGGGCTCAAATGCCCGAGAAAGAAGGAAATACAGAGAATCGGCCTCCTCTTGGAAGTTTGCTTTTAAATTCACTTTCTCATCTTTTATTTTGTCCGAATTTTACTGTTGGACTTGTTGACAAAAATGCGGTTTTTCTTTAAATTTTGTTTTTCTATCAAATTTTTAGAATATCAAAAGCCTTTCAAAAATAGACAGTTGTGAATATATTTGGCAATCTGGAGTTGGTTTTGCTGGGAAACCACCATCCAGCGCTGTTTATGATGCAAATAGAACTGAGATATTGAAACTTTTATTGTAATTTTTTTAAATAATTTTCTTTTTAATTTGTGAATTTTAGAGTGTGTTTTTCTGAGATTATTTACAATCGGGAGACAGGTATTTTTTAGTTCATTAATTAAAATATTTTACAATTAGGATAAATTTGGTTTTATTGTGGGGTTAATTGTAACTATTTTTGAAATTTTTTCGTTTTGACTTTTACGATTTTTCATTTTACTGAAAAAAAATTTTTGAGGATTCCGATCTTTCTTTTTCACATTTTGGCTCACTCGAAAATTACCTCACTCTTTTTTCTACTCTAAATTAATTTTTTAATTTTAGAAATTTCAAAAATTCGTTGGATAACTTGTTTTACTTCGGCAGAAAATCGTAACGTTGTAAGTTTAAAACTAATTTCTTTTCCCAATTTTCTTTCCAAAAATTTTAAGCTCCCAATTTTTACTTCTCTTTTAAATATAATTTGTTCTTATGATCCTGTTGGACTTGGAGTGCCATACAATTATCTTTTAATGACCGACTTTCGCGAACCTTTAGTTAAAGTTTCTTTACAATTTTTGATTGTATGTCTTGATAAAGATTCTCATTCAAAAAATGAAGAGGTTTTTTTGAAAAAGAATTTTTTTAATTTTATTTTTAAAAGGATGGTTATGCTGAAAATTATTTTATAAATTATCTTTCAAGAATTCATAGAGAAGAAGATTTTGATTTTATTTTGAAGGTATTTTTGTGAATAATTTTTTTATTTTAATTAATTTTTAGGGTTTTACTCGTCTTTTAAACAATCAATTACAAGCTACTTATTTCCCTAAATCTTTAAAGAAAATTGAATTCCATCAAGAACTTCTTGTTCTCCTTTGGAAATGTTGTGAATTTAATCAGGTAGAAATTACATATTAAAATTAATTTGAGAATTTCATTTTTTCTATTTAAAATCTTTCTTGTTTATATTACCTTATTTTAAAACGTCGGGCTATGGGTTGGCCAAAGAGCAACCATGGTTGGCCTAAACGGCTTTTTGTCTTTTCTTTTTTGTACCATTTTTATAAGGGGTCTCTTTAGGATTCAAAATTTTTCCCGATTAAAATTTTTTTGGTTTAAAATTTGCACCATTTTTCATTTCTAGTTTATCTTTCTTTAAATGTTTCAAAAATTTTATTTCTTCATGACTTTCTATTTTTTAATTTTTCAACTGTCAATCTAAATAAACATTTAATTTTTTTCAGAAATTTCTCTATTTTATTCTCAAAACTAGTGATATGCTTGACATTCTCGTTCCTATACTTTATCATTTAAACGACTCTCGTACAGACCCTTCACGTATTGGACTTGTGCATATGAGTGTATTTTTAATTTTATTGTTGAGTGGAGAAAGAAACTTTGGTGTTCGTTTAAATAAAGTATTTAATTTTTTTTAATAATTTTGTTGTTATCAATTTTCTTTTTTAGCCTTTCACTTCTCGTGGAATTATTGATGTTCCTATATTTACTGGGACACATGCTGATCTTTTAATTATTGTAATTTTTTTAAATTAAATTTTGATTGACTTTTTTTTAATTTTTAAAGGTTTTTCATAAATTAATAACTAGTGGGAATCATAAATTGCAATCTCTATTTGATTGTTTGTTGACAATTATTGTTAATGGTTGGTGTTTTTTTATTTAAAATTCTTTTATTTTTAAAAATTAACTAAAAAATTTATATGAAGCTGAATTAAATTTTATTAATCTTTCTTAAGAAATTTTTTCTTAATATTTTTTACAATCTAGCAAAGCCCAAAAAATTCTAATTTTTATTATCCATTTTTTGCTAATTTAATATTTCCTTTTTTAGTTTCGCCATATCTCAAATCTTTGTCTATGGTTACTGCTAATAAATTGGTTCATTTGGTTGAAGCATTTAGGTTTTTCAATTCTTTTAGTTTTTTAAAAAATTTTTTAGCACTCCTTGGTTTATGTTTTCCTCTCCAACAAATCACCATTTAATTTTCTTTATTCTGGAAATGTTTAATAATATTATTCAATATCAATTTGATGGTTATTTTTTAATTTTATTATTAATTTTTGGACTTGTTTTTTAATTCCCAAAGGATTTAGAAAAACAAGGCTTTATATCCTCTTATTCAAAATAATTAGAAATAATATTTTCCACTAATTAATAAAATATTCAATTTTTAGGTAATTCTAATTTAATTTACACAATAATACGAAAACGACATGTTTTCTACCAATTAAGGTTTTTTTTCTTCTTATTTTTGTTTTTTTAATTTGTTAATTTAGTAATATTCAAACCGATTCTGTTTCAATAGCCCAAGGATTACGAAAAGGTAAAAAGCCAGTTCCAAAGGATTCAGAGGAAGAATCTGCCGGGGAAATTACACAAATTGGTGAAAAGAATGAAATAAGAGGTTAATTTTTTGGAATTTTATTATTAAAAAAATTATTTCAAGCTCCAATTGGTCCAACTTCAACACTCGCCCAAACTCCAGCAATTGATGTAATGACAACAAATTATGAGGCTAAGGAAGGCAAAAATGAACAGAAACAAATTCCTAAAGAAAAGAAAGGAGAAAATTCTAAAGAAAAATTAGAAAATGAAAAAAAGAAAGATGAAGAAGAAGAGGAATGGATAGCTACCCCAGAATGGGTAGAATCTTGGAAGAGTAAATTACCTTTGCAAACAATAATGCGTGTGTTACAAATTTTGGTTCCTCAAGTTGAGAAGATTTGTATTGACAAGTTTGAAATTTCTTTGAAAATTTTTTAGAAATTTTTATTTTATTTAGAGGGTTAACTGACGAAAGCGAAATTTTAAAATTTTTACAACATGGAACTCTTGTTGGACTTTTACCAGTACCTCATCCAATACTTATTCGCAGATACATTGCTAATGAAGGGACAAACAATTGGTTTAGAACATACACTTGGGGTGTTATTTACTTAAGGTTTGTTTCATATTTTTTTATAAATGGAAATAGAGAATTATCTTTTTATAAAGATAGGGAGGGATTGTCCTTCAAGAATAAATAAGCTAAATTTTAGAGTTTTTTTCATTTTTTAGTTCGGGTTATTCTGTCACTTACACCTACCTTACATTGGCTCCTGGTTGTTGGACTGTCGAGTTGTTAACCTCCTTCTAGTTTGGGATTAAATAAGTTCCTCTATTTTTCTATTCCATTTGTCTCTACAAAACCTGAGATAAATAAAACTTTCTGTTAAGTTTTTAGTAACAGTTTTTTTGATTTTTAAGAAATGTTGATCCAGCTATTTGGTATGACACAGAAGTAAATCTTTTTGAAATTCAAAATGCCTAAAGAGGAGAAAAAAAATTAATTTAAAAAGGGCCAAATACATAATAAATATATTCAATAATTTTTATAATTTTGGGGCTTGAAAATTTAACAATTATTTTTAAAAATATATTAACAGAAAAGATATTTTAAAAAAGCTATATTTGTGATGCTTGCTAATAAATTGTAATTTTTTATTATTTTTTTCAATTAATATTTTATTGAAATAATTTTATGAAATATTTTTATTTTATTTTTTAAATTTAATTTTAATAAAATTTTCAGGTTTTTTTAGAATAGATACATAGTTTATAAAATTATGAGTTATAATTATTTATTTAAAATTGTTGTTGTTGGTGATCATAATGTAGGAAAATCGGTTAGTTTCATTTAATAAATTTTGCTAGTAGGGATGGGGTTATTTAGTGGGGACATTTTCTTGTTTCGAAAGTTGGCTAAAAGTAATGTGTTTTTCTGTTTGGTGCGAACAAAGGAACCGTCTTCCCATATTTAATTACCCTAGAAATTTGTAAGGACTCCCCTTGGACTGGCTTATTTCTGAATCTTACATAACATTTAAACACTACCAAAATATTTTATTTTTCAGTGTATTCTTTTACGATTTGCTGAAAATGCCTTTAGAGCAGACCATATCAGTACATTAGGCGTTGATTTTAAATTAAAAACAATAAAATTGGGACGTGACAAAATTCGGTTAGAACTTTGGTTTGTTTATTTTTTTTAGATTTTATTAAAATATTTTTTTATTTTAGGGACACTGCAGGAATGGAAAGATATCGGACTATATACAATTCTTATTATCGTATTATTTAATTTTAAATGTTTTTTATTTCTCAAATTTTTCAATTTAAGATTCAGCACATGGAGTTGTTTGTGTTTTTGATATTGTTAGTTTTTTTAAATTATTTTTTGGAGTTATTTAAAGGTTGTCTCTTCTATTTTTAAAAAAGTTGCACAGTCGATTAGTTTTAGACACGGCTTTCCCAGGTATGGGTTCAGGGACCTTAACTTGTAAATTTCTTTAACCGTCCATAACCACTTTCAGTAAGTTATAACCGTTGAAGGAGCCGGGACACATTTTTAAAATATTTTTATTCTGAAAGTGAACAAATAAGGAATTCAAAATAATTTTTAGACCAGTGAAAAATCATTTGAAAATCTCGAGAATTACTGGCTTACTCAAGTTAAAGAACACGCACCTCAAAACGCCGTATTACTTTTGGTTGGGAATAAAGCGGATATGGAACCGGAACGAAAAATTGAGTTTGATAAAGCTGAAAGGTTTTAAATAAAGTTTTTTTGGAAATTAAAAGAAAAATATTTTTAAAGGTTAGCAAAAAGATTGGGCGTTTCACTTTTTGAGGTTAGTGCAAAAACGGGAATTAATTGTGAAGATGCCTTTGTGGAGTTAGCTACGGTTATGCGAGACCGACTTTTGGCTTCAGGTCTTTTTACTTACTATAATGCATTGATCCCTAAAAGGCTTCATGAGAATTCGGATTGGGATGTATTTGACCTACTTTTTATTAAGGGAGTTAAACTTCTTATGGAGTGTCTTTTAGAGAATTTTTCTTTAAATTTTTTATTGAAGGAATTTCTTACAAAATTAGAGCAATTTAATTTTTATATTTAGCAAATTCTGACTCTGACGACTCTGACCGTTTATCAACTGCCTTTCACATCGATGGTGCCATATCACATGAAAAAATGAGTAGTCGTTTAATTGGTGTTGTCCCTAACTGTTGTTCAGGTGAAAGTACTCCAAGAGCTACTTTTGTTTAAATGAAAGGATGGGAAAAAAGAATTTCTTGTCAATCAAAATAAAAAAGCATTTTTCACTTTAAATTTTTTTGATTTTATAAAATGTGTTTATTTCTGCCTTTCTGATTGTGAATCTCACCCAGAAGTTGGCTGCTTTTTTTAAATTAATTTTTTTTTCAAAATTTGTAATGCTTTAATAAAAAATTGAATTAAATTTGTTTTTTTTATTTTTCAAAATGTTTTTTAAACATTTTTATTTTTTTAAATTTAATTTTGTTTAATTTTTCTTTAGTAATGTTTTGCTAATATTAAAAGATACTAATGCAGCCATCACCTGCGTCAAATCCTGATCTTGAAGCAAGGCAAGCAGCGCAGTTTGGAGATGTTAATAAGTTATTGAGGTAAATAAAAATAATTTATGAGGTGATAAGTTGTGTTGGTAATCCTAATGAGCATAGGAGCGATCCAAAATAAAGTTTCCTAATGCGATTTAGGGTTTGAGCCGGATGTTAGATTTTTTCAGAATAAATTTTAGGGACTTAATTGCTTGATTTTGTCATTTCTCTTTATCCTTCCTCTCATTTTCTCCATTTACTAAATTTATATGCTTGTTTCTTTTTTATTTCAGTTTATTGGATTCATGTTCTGTCTCCCCAAATTCGGTAAATTCTTTCTTAATTTTAATAAATTTGAAACAATTCAGGTCGATCAAGATGATTGTTCACTCCTCCATTGGGCTGCAATAAATAATAGAATAGAGGTTTTTAAGCATTAAAAAAATTAATTTAGAAAATTCTATAAAGGCTGCTAAACTTTTATTACAACGAGGTGCTAATGTAAACGCCGTTGGAGGTGTTCTAGCTTCAACACCTTTACATTGGGCAGCTAGACATGGACACGCTAGAATGGTTGCAGTTTTGGTATGAAAAATTTTTAAAAAATTTTTTAAAGTTTAATTAGGTGAGGAATGGCGCCGATTGGACTATTCGTGATGTTGAAGGTTTCACTGCTTTACATGTAGCTGTCCAATTTGGTTGTATTCCTGTTGCTGCTTACCTTGTATTTTTCTTATTCAAAAGTATTTTTAAATAACTTCTTTAGATAGCAATGGGGCAGTCTCCTGATGAATTGGATACAACAAGAATGACACCATCTATATGGGCAGCTTATAAAGCATGTAGTAAAGATTCATTAAGAATGCTTGCAAAATTGGGGGCTGATCTGGAAAAAACTGATTCTACTTATAGGTATTTATATTCTCTTTAAGTTAGGGAACAATAGGTTTAAATTATCAGACAAAAGTCAAAATCAGGTCATAATCCACGTAAAATTTCACAGTTAATGCTGGCAAGTGTCAACTTACACTTTTAAATACCAGATACCTAGGTTCGATTCCTGTGACAGTAGTTTCACTATTTTAGAGTAGTTAATTCCTTAACAATCCTACTGCACGATTATAATCCCGAGTTGATTACCAGTGAAATTTTATATTCTTTTAAATTAAAGAAATTCACCTCTTCATTGGGCTGTTGCTCAAGGCAATCATATGGCAGTTAGTACACTCATTAAATTAAATGTTAATTTATCTCAATTAAACAAAGTATGTTTTTTAACTTTAAATTTCATTTAAATTAATTTTTAAAAAAGGAAAATGAAACTCCATTGGACATTGCAAGGAGGAGGGGCGACCTCCTTTCTGTTCGTTTAATTGAAATGGCAGCTCGTGAACAAGGCTTAATTCCTTCAAAGTGCAGACAAAAATTGCGTGATAATATGGTTAGTTTTTAATTTTATATTTTTCGGGGAGGATTTAGTGGAGTAATACTGTCCTGGTTACAACAAAAATCCTGACTTGTTTGTTGAATCCCAACTTTAGATTTTAAAGTAAAGTGATTTTTATTATTATATCTGTCTGTGGAAAAATTCATTGGACGGGAGATGGAGTAAGACCATCACGGAATGAGCCCAGATCGCAGCACAACCGACTGTGCCACTATCCAACCCGATGATTTATTCTTTCCGCAAGTGTGGAGACACCAGTTATTTTCAATTGAATATGCCCAATTTAAACTTAATCCTAATAATGATTTTCTTTTTTTAGAATATTCGTCGTTCGGTTATCTTTTCTCTGCCATTTTTCGCCATTTTTCTCGGTTCTTTAATTGCCAGTTGTTCACTTTCTACCATTACAAAATTAGAATTCTCTTTTTGTTTGACAGCATTTATTTTATTTTTATTCAGGTTTTTTTAATTTTTTTAATTTTAAAAATTAATTTTTTAAAAAGATATTTCTCAAAAGATCGTCAAGAATATTCTCTCAGAATTTTACTTTTTGGATTGGCAATTTCTTCAAAATTTTATATGATTTTTGCTTGGCTAATGTTTATTCACTCTGTTGTTGCTTGGCATATGCAAATTGCTTTTCTTTTCTTTCTTGTTTTAGTTCCTTACTTAACTCATCAAATAGTCACTTCTGATCCCGGTTTTGTTGTTGTAACGCATAAGGTTTATTTTTAAATTTTCTTAATTTTTTTGGAACTTTAATTTAAGTTTAATTTAAATTGTACTGTTCTCAATTTTGGCTTCTATTTAATCTAGGCCATAATAAATCACTATCTTTTTATAAGTAATAGGCCACCCAAACTGATTGTGTGAATATTTATTTCTTCTTACAATTTGCCCATTTTAGGTTATCAGGCCAAAAAAGACGTTAGAATATCCGGAACCGAATAGAAAAATCCTCGCTCCTTCGCCCTAATCCATTTTCTTTTATTGCTAACTGAATAAATATTCATTAACTTAAAATCTTTCACAGACTCTTGAATAAAAAAATTTTAATTATATGTATATTCAGGAACGTTGTCAAATGATTATTTCAATGACTGAAGAAGTCCTTTGGGACGGCAATTTTTGTCCAACTTGTTTAATAGCTCGTCCAATACGTTCTAAACATTGCGCGTTTGTTTTTATTTTAAACTAAATATTTTTATAAAATTAATTTTTAGAGTTTGTGATAAATGTGTTCTTCGATTTGATCATCATTGTCCTTGGTTTTTTAAATTAAAAAAATTTTTTTTGTAAAGAATTGTATTTCAGGGTAGCTAATTGTATTGGAGAGAAAAATCATAGTAAATTAAATTTAAAATATTTATTATTATTTATTGGCTCGCCTAACTTATTTTTAATTTATCCTCTATCTGACAATGTGTGTGTTTGTGTGAGCCAGTGAAAGGGATCAGTCTAGTTGGATCATACTAGCCCGCAAGGGCGTATCCAGGGGGGGGCTGGGGGGGGGGGGCTAGAGCCCCCCCCCCGAAATGGGGGAAAGGGGGAAAAAATTAGGAGAAGAATGGTCGAAAAAGTGAAATTTTTTCGCCTACAACCCTCAAATTTTAAAAAATTTTCGCCTGCGGCGCTAAAAAAAGAAGAAATCTGGCTTCTTGGGCTCCAAATTCCAAAAAATTTTCGCCTGCGGCGATAAAAAGGAAGAAATCTGGCTTCTTGGGCTCCAAATTCCAAAAAATTTTCGCCTGCGGCACTGAATAAGTGAATTTTTTGCCTACGGCCTTCTAAAATTCAAAAAATTTTCGCCTGTGGCGCAGAAAAGATGAAAATTTATGTACAAAAAAATTTGCGTCCGGAACGCCAAGGCAAACGCCAAAAATTTTTGCGCCCACCCAGTGTTAGCCCCCCCGAAACCGACCCCCTGGATACGCCCTTGCTAGCCCGGCTAGTCCCTGATTCCTTTCGTCTGTTACTCCCAGTTCACCTTCACAAACATTGTACATTTCTACATGGGATAAACTTTATTCTTGTGCACGTCAATATCAAATAACCCTCGGACATATTTTAAATGAGTCAACCATTTAAAATAAGAAAAAAATTTTTTTATTATTTTTTCTTTCTTTCTCCACTGAAAAATCAAACATCATTTTCTTTTTTCAGGACTTTTCTTTGTTTATTTGTTTGTATTGGATCTTGCTTGTATTTTAATGTTTGTTGGCTCTACTTTTTGTAAGAGAGAATTGATATTTTTAATTTTTTTAAAATCATTTTAAAGATTGGAAATTTGTTTGTGGAGATATTTCCAATCCAAATGTGATTCTTTTTTGTTTGCCATTTGTTACAGTTTTGGGGTTTATGTCTTCAACTTATTTCTTTTTTATAACAACACTATTGGGAATACAAACATATCAGGTAAATAAAAAAATAATTATTTTCTGAAGATTATTGGAGACGGGAAATATTTTAATTTTTATCCTTTTTAATATTTTTTCTTCACAGATACTGACAGCTGTAACAACAAATGAGCGGATTAATTCATATAGATACTCCTATTTTAGACTTTCTGATGGACTAAGAAGTCCTTTTAGGTATTTCTAAAAAATTATTTTTGAAGACTTTATGAGAAAATTTTTTTAGCAAAGGATGTCTTGGAAATGCACGTAATTTTTGGTGTCCATCCTCTTCTTTTGAAAATTCCAATAGCAATAATCTCAGAAATAATAATGCAGAAACTACTAATTTATTAGCTTAGAAAAATAGACCTTAACAAAAGACTAGTAATTCAAAAATTGTTTATTTTTATATTTTTGTTTTATTTCGAGCCATCACATATATTTAAAAGTGATCTCTGACCGTTAACTTTTCAAGGCTTTTTAGAATTAAGTTTGACAGACTTTGATGACTGAAACCTAGTTAAAACTGAAAGACGCATTTGAGTTCCTTATTTACATTAAACTTTTTTTACATTATACTTTTAACTGGAAAGTCAAATAATTAAGTTTCTATAACAAAATTAACTGATTTAGAAATCAAATAAAACTATCACAGAGAAATTCAGTTTGGTTTTGAAGAACTAAAAAATTTTCGAAGAAAGGCGAAATTCGATGGTTTCCCTAACATAGAAATTTGGGGAATCCTAAAAATAGTTAACGGTCATTTTTTAAATTTGGCACTTGTACTTGTGAAAATAAACAGAAAATCACACCTATATATTGACAGGCATTTTTTTCGCAAATATTTAACAAAAAGTTCTTGCTAGAACAATTTATAAATTACACTCATTCATTTAATTTTGCTTCATTTATTTTTTGTGTAAAATAATAAATTTTAATAAAAATTAAAAAAATATTTTTAAAATTTCATTAAAATACTGAAAAATATTTTTCAAAAATTGTTTTTGTGACTAAAAATGGATTTATAATATTTAAAAAATTTTTTAGAATCCTTTGCTATATTTTTAAAAAAAATATTCATGAAAATGAATGATACATCATCAACTTCTTCTGATGATAGCGATATTTTTTCTCATCTAAATCCTACAGAAGCTGAACAAATTTTGTTTTTGAAGTCAAATGTGCTTGAGGAAAAATTGAAAATTGCAAATCTTGAAATTGTTAAATTACAAGAAAATGAGGGGAAATTTAAAGAAGAAATTGACAAGCTTAAAAATGAAAATAAATATATTTCTGAATTATATGGCAGTCAAAAAGAAGAATTAAATAATGTGAGTTTTTTGTGGTGATAAAAATGAAGAAAATTTTTCGAAATAAATTTTAAAATTAATGCGAGGGAAGGCAGGGTGGTCCTTTACAAATCACCAAAAGAGGCCATGGCCTCTCAGAAAACGGGCAAAAATGAGGCGAAATCGGACAAAAATGGGGCAAAACAAGGCGTTATTTTAAACGCTTAAAAATAATTAAAATTACAAAAAACGCTGCATATTTTTCACGCGGTTCGAATTCTTTTTCAGCGCCGGAGGCGAAAATTTTCTGATAGAAAAAGGGGAGCTGAGGGAAGGGGATTTAATTTTAAGGAGACTAATTTTAATTTTAGATTAACAATAAGTTTGACAAATTGGCTTTGGATATGGAAGAATTTACTTTTAAGCATGTTGTTAGTTTATAACAAATATTTTTCTCTAAATTTATTTATTTTAGTCATTTATATTTCAACAAAATAAATGGAAAAATGTTGATACAGATTGGAATCCTTGTTGCACAAATAAATGTATTAACACAAAACGACGTACGGGGAAATGTGCTAATAAGAATGGTTTTATTGAATTAATAAATGATTTGGATATTAAATACAATAATTGTGTTAAAGGAGAGGGTAGGTTTTGTGACAGATTTATATTTGCGGATTGCCCCTTGTGGATGTCTATTGGGATTTCTATTTTATATAGGGTTGTCGTTTTCGAGCCGGGCCGGCGGTCTATGCATTTTTTCGAGCTTATTTTTGCGGGCCAGTACGAGTCACTTTCGGGCCTAACCTTATCGAGTCGGGTCGTACGAGTCTTTTTTGGGTTAAATATCTTAGGACCGACTCGATCTTTCGGTCCGAGTCGGTCCATTTTGGCAACCCTAATTCTATACCTAAAAGTTTTAATTTTAGGTATAGACTTTAGGTTTAATTTTAGGTATTTCTAAGCACAAACTCAGTCTGCAAAAATTTCTACATTTTTTCCAAAACAATTAAAATAATTTAAAGGTGTTAATAAGAAAGCTTTTGTATATTCACCAAATAAATTCCACAAACCACCAAATTGTTATACTTTCTCATTATTTTATTTCGAAGTAAAATGTCTGATGGAAAATAATTTTGATGAAATTGAGATGCAAATAGGTGTTAATACAAATAATATATTTATTAGATTACAAGCAAATGAGTCTAAAATTTATTATGGATTTCAATCGAAAGAAGGAAAAGAATTTAAAATTGACTCGTTTTCCTTTGAAAATAACGATATTCTTGGATGTGGGTTAGTCTATCCGTCGATTGTTTTGAATGAAAAATTGCCTTATTTATTTTTTACTCAAAATGGGAAACAAATTGGTTTGGAAATTAATTTAAATAAATTAATTAAAAATTAATTTAAAGGGAAGGCTGTTTTGCTTGAAAATGAAGTTTATGAACCTTTTATTTCTTTAAAGTGTTGCTCTGTTGAAACTAATTTTGGGAATGATTTGAAGGATAAACCTTTTAGCTATGACATTTCTAAGCATTTTTTGCTTGAAGAATTTTATTAAATGAATGAGGGAGTGAGAGGGAGTGACTGAGATTAAAAAATATTTTTTGATGATTTATTCTTTAAATGAATTTTGTTTTGAATTTTAATTTATTACGGAAAAGCCACTTTACTGCAAACCAATTTTACTCTAAAGTCAATTAAATATCGAAACTTAAAATTTGGAATAGTTCGACAAGTCCTAAAGGGATAAGTCGATTAATTCCAAAATCGTCTAAATTTGTCAATATTAAAATTTGATAATAACCTTGCAGTAAAGTAGAAGGAGTAGTCCGAGGATTTTATTTTTTAATTTGTCACTTTTTGGAAAAATTAAAAAAATTTTTTTTACTTTTTTAAACTTTTATTCATTATTTTTAAAATAAAATATTTTAAGTATTTATTTTAACTTTTTTAAAATATTTTTTAGAATTTTTTTTCCAATTTAAAATGAGTGATATACCAACATCTTCGTCTAATGACTATATTGATGAACAAGAAAAGAGACGAAAAAGAATTCGAACTTTGGAGGTTAAGAAAATAATTTTTTAAAAATTAAATTAAAAATTAAATTTAAAATTAAATTTTAAAGAATGAAATGAAGGTTATACAAACAGAAATTGATTTGGCTAGTTTTTTTAATTAAAATTTAAAAAATTAATTTTAGCAAAATTTATTGTTAGAAGCTAATGAAAAATTAGAAATTGCGAATTGTGAAATTCAACAATTACAACAAAATGAGAAAAAATTTAAAAAGGAAATTGAAGATTTAAAAAGTCAAAATAAATATATTTGTGAATTATATAATATTCAAAAAGAAGAATTAAATAATGTAAAAGTTTAAATTAAAAATTATTTTTGGATTTATGTTCCTTATTTGGTGACCTATTTTAATTCGAGCTAAATTTCCTCCAATTTCAGCTAAATATAATTATCAGGGATGTCCGTAGAGAGAAAAAGAATTCGAACATCCCTGATAATTATTTTTTCATTCCTTGTTTTATCAAAAAGAATGAATAAACTAAAAATCGAAATTTTATTTCGAATTTCATAGTTTTTTGTGAGTAAATGGGAACAATTTTTCGATTTCCCTACATTTCTCTCTCTTCAGCCCCCCCCCCCCCCTATTTCGTTACAATAACTTTAAATTTTTTAATATAATCAAAATATTTTTTTAAACCCTTTAAGATCAAAGGGAAAAATTCAATTAGCTATAATATATATGATTTAAGAATGGAGGGAATATCCAAAAAATGTAATAAATCTTCGGTTAGTTTTTAATAATTAAAATAAAAACAAATAAATTTTTCAGCGTTATTCCCAACCTTTGTAAAGAGAATATGAAGTACTTTTGAGTAAAACTTGAAAAAAGAAAAATTTTGATTTAAAATTTAATTTTTATTTTATATACATATATTTGGCTATTTTTAATTAAAAAATTTTTCTCAGTTAATTTTAATTTTAGTAAACGAAAATATTTTTCTTTATTCATTTTTAGTGAAAGTTAAGGAATTAATTTCAATTTTTCAAAAAAATTTTAATTTTTGGGTTGTTTCTAGTTTGGTATAAAAATATAAATCCAGTATGTACAACTAATTAGAACCTCACAAAATATGCACGGAAAAATAGGAAATGCTGTGCTGCTACATTCCCTCTATCCCTCGATTAATTACCCCCTTAAGTGAGAATGTTTAGTTTTAAAATTAAATTTTAATCCTTTACAATTATTTTCAAGTTCCAATCAACACAAAAATCGAAAATTCGACATTGTAGTATTTGCCACTGAATACTCCTTATAAAAAAGCATATCCAGCAACCTCTTAATATCCATTCTTCCGTTTTTTATTAAAAAGTGAAAGTTTAAAGATTCTTTATTCTTTTTAAAAAGAACAAACTGGAATATATTTTAATTTACTTATCTCAAAAATAAATCTCTTCTATTTTCTATTCCTCCTCCCCCCCCCCCCTCCCCCCAATTTAAACATTTAATTAATTATTTTTTTTGAAATAAAAATGCCTTTTTTACGAAAAATTTTAATTTTTTTAATAATTTCTTTAATTGATTCGGCTATTCGTCGACGACATTTTTTGAATTGTCATCCCTCATTTCGATGTTATTTATTTTTATTTTCTCTTTTTTATTGTTGTCTAAATAAAGATATTTGGCACAATAATGGGTTGGTTTTTAAATTAAATAATGAATGAATGAATGGATTGGTAGAGATTCACTCATCAGAAATATTATTATATATTATTATTACATCAGAAATATTATATTATTATTATTATTTTGATATTGTTAGTTTTTTTAAATTATTTTTTGGAGTTATTTAAAGGTTGTCTCTTCTATTTTTAAAAAAGTTGCACAGTCGATTAGTTTTAGACACGGCTTTCCCAGGTATGGGTTCAGGGACCTTAACTTGTAAATTTCTTTAACCGTCCATAACCACTTTCAGTAAGTTATAACCGTTGAAGGAGCCGGGACACATTTTTAAAATATTTTTATTCTGAAAGTGAACAAATAAGGAATTCAAAATAATTTTTAGACCAGTGAAAAATCATTTGAAAATCTCGAGAATTACTGGCTTACTCAAGTTAAAGAACACGCACCTCAAAACGCCGTATTACTTTTGGTTGGGAATAAAGCGGATATGGAACCGGAACGAAAAATTGAGTTTGATAAAGCTGAAAGGTTTTAAATAAAGTTTTTTTGGAAATTAAAAGAAAAATATTTTTAAAGGTTAGCAAAAAGATTGGGCGTTTCACTTTTTGAGGTTAGTGCAAAAACGGGAATTAATTGTGAAGATGCCTTTGTGGAGTTAGCTACGGTTATGCGAGACCGACTTTTGGCTTCAGGTCTTTTTACTTACTATAATGCATTGATCCCTAAAAGGCTTCATGAGAATTCGGATTGGGATGTATTTGACCTACTTTTTATTAAGGGAGTTAAACTTCTTATGGAGTGTCTTTTAGAGAATTTTTCTTTAAATTTTTTATTGAAGGAATTTCTTACAAAATTAGAGCAATTTAATTTTTATATTTAGCAAATTCTGACTCTGACGACTCTGACCGTTTATCAACTGCCTTTCACATCGATGGTGCCATATCACATGAAAAAATGAGTAGTCGTTTAATTGGTGTTGTCCCTAACTGTTGTTCAGGTGAAAGTACTCCAAGAGCTACTTTTGTTTAAATGAAAGGATGGGAAAAAAGAATTTCTTGTCAATCAAAATAAAAAAGCATTTTTCACTTTAAATTTTTTTGATTTTATAAAATGTGTTTATTTCTGCCTTTCTGATTGTGAATCTCACCCAGAAGTTGGCTGCTTTTTTTAAATTAATTTTTTTTTCAAAATTTGTAATGCTTTAATAAAAAATTGAATTAAATTTGTTTTTTTTATTTTTCAAAATGTTTTTTAAACATTTTTATTTTTTTAAATTTAATTTTGTTTAATTTTTCTTTAGTAATGTTTTGCTAATATTAAAAGATACTAATGCAGCCATCACCTGCGTCAAATCCTGATCTTGAAGCAAGGCAAGCAGCGCAGTTTGGAGATGTTAATAAGTTATTGAGGTAAATAAAAATAATTTATGAGGTGATAAGTTGTGTTGGTAATCCTAATGAGCATAGGAGCGATCCAAAATAAAGTTTCCTAATGCGATTTAGGGTTTGAGCCGGATGTTAGATTTTTTCAGAATAAATTTTAGGGACTTAATTGCTTGATTTTGTCATTTCTCTTTATCCTTCCTCTCATTTTCTCCATTTACTAAATTTATATGCTTGTTTCTTTTTTATTTCAGTTTATTGGATTCATGTTCTGTCTCCCCAAATTCGGTAAATTCTTTCTTAATTTTAATAAATTTGAAACAATTCAGGTCGATCAAGATGATTGTTCACTCCTCCATTGGGCTGCAATAAATAATAGAATAGAGGTTTTTAAGCATTAAAAAAATTAATTTAGAAAATTCTATAAAGGCTGCTAAACTTTTATTACAACGAGGTGCTAATGTAAACGCCGTTGGAGGTGTTCTAGCTTCAACACCTTTACATTGGGCAGCTAGACATGGACACGCTAGAATGGTTGCAGTTTTGGTATGAAAAATTTTTAAAAAATTTTTTAAAGTTTAATTAGGTGAGGAATGGCGCCGATTGGACTATTCGTGATGTTGAAGGTTTCACTGCTTTACATGTAGCTGTCCAATTTGGTTGTATTCCTGTTGCTGCTTACCTTGTATTTTTCTTATTCAAAAGTATTTTTAAATAACTTCTTTAGATAGCAATGGGGCAGTCTCCTGATGAATTGGATACAACAAGAATGACACCATCTATATGGGCAGCTTATAAAGCATGTAGTAAAGATTCATTAAGAATGCTTGCAAAATTGGGGGCTGATCTGGAAAAAACTGATTCTACTTATAGGTATTTATATTCTCTTTAAGTTAGGGAACAATAGGTTTAAATTATCAGACAAAAGTCAAAATCAGGTCATAATCCACGTAAAATTTCACAGTTAATGCTGGCAAGTGTCAACTTACACTTTTAAATACCAGATACCTAGGTTCGATTCCTGTGACAGTAGTTTCACTATTTTAGAGTAGTTAATTCCTTAACAATCCTACTGCACGATTATAATCCCGAGTTGATTACCAGTGAAATTTTATATTCTTTTAAATTAAAGAAATTCACCTCTTCATTGGGCTGTTGCTCAAGGCAATCATATGGCAGTTAGTACACTCATTAAATTAAATGTTAATTTATCTCAATTAAACAAAGTATGTTTTTTAACTTTAAATTTCATTTAAATTAATTTTTAAAAAAGGAAAATGAAACTCCATTGGACATTGCAAGGAGGAGGGGCGACCTCCTTTCTGTTCGTTTAATTGAAATGGCAGCTCGTGAACAAGGCTTAATTCCTTCAAAGTGCAGACAAAAATTGCGTGATAATATGGTTAGTTTTTAATTTTATATTTTTCGGGGAGGATTTAGTGGAGTAATACTGTCCTGGTTACAACAAAAATCCTGACTTGTTTGTTGAATCCCAACTTTAGATTTTAAAGTAAAGTGATTTTTATTATTATATCTGTCTGTGGAAAAATTCATTGGACGGGAGATGGAGTAAGACCATCACGGAATGAGCCCAGATCGCAGCACAACCGACTGTGCCACTATCCAACCCGATGATTTATTCTTTCCGCAAGTGTGGAGACACCAGTTATTTTCAATTGAATATGCCCAATTTAAACTTAATCCTAATAATGATTTTCTTTTTTTAGAATATTCGTCGTTCGGTTATCTTTTCTCTGCCATTTTTCGCCATTTTTCTCGGTTCTTTAATTGCCAGTTGTTCACTTTCTACCATTACAAAATTAGAATTCTCTTTTTGTTTGACAGCATTTATTTTATTTTTATTCAGGTTTTTTTAATTTTTTTAATTTTAAAAATTAATTTTTTAAAAAGATATTTCTCAAAAGATCGTCAAGAATATTCTCTCAGAATTTTACTTTTTGGATTGGCAATTTCTTCAAAATTTTATATGATTTTTGCTTGGCTAATGTTTATTCACTCTGTTGTTGCTTGGCATATGCAAATTGCTTTTCTTTTCTTTCTTGTTTTAGTTCCTTACTTAACTCATCAAATAGTCACTTCTGATCCCGGTTTTGTTGTTGTAACGCATAAGGTTTATTTTTAAATTTTCTTAATTTTTTTGGAACTTTAATTTAAGTTTAATTTAAATTGTACTGTTCTCAATTTTGGCTTCTATTTAATCTAGGCCATAATAAATCACTATCTTTTTATAAGTAATAGGCCACCCAAACTGATTGTGTGAATATTTATTTCTTCTTACAATTTGCCCATTTTAGGTTATCAGGCCAAAAAAGACGTTAGAATATCCGGAACCGAATAGAAAAATCCTCGCTCCTTCGCCCTAATCCATTTTCTTTTATTGCTAACTGAATAAATATTCATTAACTTAAAATCTTTCACAGACTCTTGAATAAAAAAATTTTAATTATATGTATATTCAGGAACGTTGTCAAATGATTATTTCAATGACTGAAGAAGTCCTTTGGGACGGCAATTTTTGTCCAACTTGTTTAATAGCTCGTCCAATACGTTCTAAACATTGCGCGTTTGTTTTTATTTTAAACTAAATATTTTTATAAAATTAATTTTTAGAGTTTGTGATAAATGTGTTCTTCGATTTGATCATCATTGTCCTTGGTTTTTTAAATTAAAAAAATTTTTTTTGTAAAGAATTGTATTTCAGGGTAGCTAATTGTATTGGAGAGAAAAATCATAGTAAATTAAATTTAAAATATTTATTATTATTTATTGGCTCGCCTAACTTATTTTTAATTTATCCTCTATCTGACAATGTGTGTGTTTGTGTGAGCCAGTGAAAGGGATCAGTCTAGTTGGATCATACTAGCCCGCAAGGGCGTATCCAGGGGGGGGCTGGGGGGGGGGGGCTAGAGCCCCCCCCCGAAATGGGGGAAAGGGGGAAAAAATTAGGAGAAGAATGGTCGAAAAAGTGAAATTTTTTCGCCTACAACCCTCAAATTTTAAAAAATTTTCGCCTGCGGCGCTAAAAAAAGAAGAAATCTGGCTTCTTGGGCTCCAAATTCCAAAAAATTTTCGCCTGCGGCGATAAAAAGGAAGAAATCTGGCTTCTTGGGCTCCAAATTCCAAAAAATTTTCGCCTGCGGCACTGAATAAGTGAATTTTTTGCCTACGGCCTTCTAAAATTCAAAAAATTTTCGCCTGTGGCGCAGAAAAGATGAAAATTTATGTACAAAAAAATTTGCGTCCGGAACGCCAAGGCAAACGCCAAAAATTTTTGCGCCCACCCAGTGTTAGCCCCCCCGAAACCGACCCCCTGGATACGCCCTTGCTAGCCCGGCTAGTCCCTGATTCCTTTCGTCTGTTACTCCCAGTTCACCTTCACAAACATTGTACATTTCTACATGGGATAAACTTTATTCTTGTGCACGTCAATATCAAATAACCCTCGGACATATTTTAAATGAGTCAACCATTTAAAATAAGAAAAAAATTTTTTTATTATTTTTTCTTTCTTTCTCCACTGAAAAATCAAACATCATTTTCTTTTTTCAGGACTTTTCTTTGTTTATTTGTTTGTATTGGATCTTGCTTGTATTTTAATGTTTGTTGGCTCTACTTTTTGTAAGAGAGAATTGATATTTTTAATTTTTTTAAAATCATTTTAAAGATTGGAAATTTGTTTGTGGAGATATTTCCAATCCAAATGTGATTCTTTTTTGTTTGCCATTTGTTACAGTTTTGGGGTTTATGTCTTCAACTTATTTCTTTTTTATAACAACACTATTGGGAATACAAACATATCAGGTAAATAAAAAAATAATTATTTTCTGAAGATTATTGGAGACGGGAAATATTTTAATTTTTATCCTTTTTAATATTTTTTCTTCACAGATACTGACAGCTGTAACAACAAATGAGCGGATTAATTCATATAGATACTCCTATTTTAGACTTTCTGATGGACTAAGAAGTCCTTTTAGGTATTTCTAAAAAATTATTTTTGAAGACTTTATGAGAAAATTTTTTTAGCAAAGGATGTCTTGGAAATGCACGTAATTTTTGGTGTCCATCCTCTTCTTTTGAAAATTCCAATAGCAATAATCTCAGAAATAATAATGCAGAAACTACTAATTTATTAGCTTAGAAAAATAGACCTTAACAAAAGACTAGTAATTCAAAAATTGTTTATTTTTATATTTTTGTTTTATTTCGAGCCATCACATATATTTAAAAGTGATCTCTGACCGTTAACTTTTCAAGGCTTTTTAGAATTAAGTTTGACAGACTTTGATGACTGAAACCTAGTTAAAACTGAAAGACGCATTTGAGTTCCTTATTTACATTAAACTTTTTTTACATTATACTTTTAACTGGAAAGTCAAATAATTAAGTTTCTATAACAAAATTAACTGATTTAGAAATCAAATAAAACTATCACAGAGAAATTCAGTTTGGTTTTGAAGAACTAAAAAATTTTCGAAGAAAGGCGAAATTCGATGGTTTCCCTAACATAGAAATTTGGGGAATCCTAAAAATAGTTAACGGTCATTTTTTAAATTTGGCACTTGTACTTGTGAAAATAAACAGAAAATCACACCTATATATTGACAGGCATTTTTTTCGCAAATA